CCGTGTCCCATCTGTGCCCCACCGTGCCCCACTGTGCCCCATCTGTGCCCCACTGTCCCACCTGTGTCCCACTGTGCCCCATCTGTGCCCCCACTGTGTCCCCAATGTGCCCCCCGTGTCCCTCCTGTGTCCCACTGTGTCTCATCTGTGTCCCACTGTGCCCCACCTGTGCCCCACTGTGTCCCACCTGTGCCCCACTGTGTCCCCCGGTGCCCCATCTGTGTCCCACTGTGCCCCCCTCTGTCCCACTGTGTCCCACTGTGTCCCACTGTGTCCCACTGTGTCCCACTGTGTCCCACTGTGTCCCACTGTGTCCCACTGTGTCCCACTGTGTCCCACTGTGTCCCACTGTGTCCCACTGTGTCCCACTGTGTCCCACTGTGTCCCACTGTGTCCCACTGTGCCCCACCTGTGTCCCACCTGTGCCCCCCTCTGTCCCACTGTGTCCCACTGTGTCCCATCTGTGTCCCACTGTGCCCCCCTCTGTCCCACTGTGCCCCACTGTGTCCCCCCTGTGCCCCATCTGTGTCCCATCTGTGCCCCACTGTCCTACCTGTGTCCCCACTGTGTCCCACTGTGCCCCCCTCTGTCCCACTGTGTCCCACTGTGTCCCCACTGTGCCCCCGTGTCCCTCCTGTGCCCCATCTGTGTCCCACCTGTGTCCCACTGTGTCCCCACTGTGCCCCCCGTGTCCCTCCTGTGCCCCACTGTGTCCCATCGTGTCCCACTGTGTCCCCCGGTGTCCCACTGTGCCCCACCGGGTCCCACTGTGTCCCATCGTGTCCCACCTGTGTCCCACTGTGTCCCCACTGTGCCCCCCGTGTCCCTCCTGTGTCCCCACTGTGTCCCCACTGTGCCCCACCTGTGTCCCCACTGTGTCCCATCTGTGTCCCATCGTGTCCCAGGAGAGGGATCCCCAAACCTGGGCTCTGCTGGGGGCACTGAGCCCAGCCCCGTGCCAGGCTGGGATCCCAAGGCACCATCCCAAGGCACATTCCCTCTGTGCTGCGAGGACCTGCAGGGAACCCCCCCAAAATTCCCAAATCTAAAACCCCCAAGCAATTCTCAAAAAATCCCCCAAAATTCCAGAATTCCCCCCAAATTTCCAGATTTCCCCCCCAAAAATCCACAAGTTTTGCCCCAAAACTCCCAGAACATTCCCTAACTCTCTCAATTTTCCCCAAAACTCCCATAATTCCCACCCCCAAATTCCAATTTTTTTCCCCAAATTTCTCCCAAAATTCTCTCTAAACTTCCCAAATTCCCCCCCTCCCAACCACCTGAATTTCCCCCCAGAATTCCCAAAATCCCCAAATCTCCCCAAAAATCCCCAAATTCTCGAATTTTGGGACTCACAGGCGAGGCCGAGGCCAGGGGGAGGGGCCAAGCCTGACATTGCCCCAAAAAATTCCTCAAAACTCCCAGATTTTCCCCAAAACTCCCAGATTTTTCCCCAAATTTCAAGAAAAAGTCCACAAGTATTACAGTAGTACCCCAAAAACTCCTCCAAATTCCCGAATTTTCCCCCAAAAATTCCCAAATCTACCCAAAAGTTCCCCCCAAAATTCTTGTGGAATTTTGGGGGCCGTTTTTGGGGGGATTTTCTCTCTTGGCAGGGACTCTCTGCAGGGCACCAGAATGGTTTCTACCTCTGGACAGAGGGTCACAGAGTCCTGGAATGGTTTGGGCTGGAGGGGAGCACAAACCTCACCCTGTCCCACCTTGTCCCAGCCCGGCCTCGCACACTGCAGCATCCCGGGCAGCCAAGGCTGCTCTGGGCCCCCCCAGCCCCACAGGGAGGAGATTCTCCCAAACCCAACTCACCCTGCCTCAGTTTCCCTCACCGGGCTCTGAGGAATGCCAAACAAAGCACAGAGCCCCAGGCACGGGGGTGGAAAGCCGGGGCAGTGTGGCTGCCCCCCAGGGAAGGCGCCAGCAGCCGAGATTCCTGAGCAGGGGAAGGAGAAAGCTGCGGGAAGGAGCCGGCTGTGAGCCCAGGGAGCTCCGAGCTGCTGCTCCGGTGCTCAGGAGGAGATAAGGACACAAACGGGACGGGAATGCAGGAACCCGCGGCTCCCAGGGCCCTGACAGCGGTCCTGGCATCCACTGTGCCCCCTCCAGATGTGCTGCCCTGGCTCCAGATGTGCCACCTGGGCCCGGGTGTGCCCGTCCTCCCCCAGATGTGCTGCCCTGGCTCCAGATGTGCCACCTGGGCCCGGGTGTGCCCGTCCTCCCCCAGATGTGCTGCCCTGGCTCCAGATGTGCGCGCTGGCCGTGCAGCCCAGCTGTGTGCCCCGGGCACTGAACACTCCCAAATTTGGGACATCCCAAAGCTGAAATTCCCACTAAACCCCCGCGGTCCTGCTCGGGGTGTGTGTAACCACACCAACCCAGGCGTTCCTACCTCCCCACGGGCACATGACACACATTATATATGTTATATACATTACATACATTACGTGCTTTACACACATTACATAACCACAGCACCCAGCGAGGCTTTTCCCCCCGCCGTGCCCGCAGGCTCCCGCTCTCCCTCCCACAAAAAAAATCCCCGTGGATCAGCCAAAACCCTGAGCAGCCAGGGCGGGAGGCTCTGCCTTTCCCCGGGGGGGTGAATTCTGCTCCCTGACATTTCCTCCCGCGAGGCAGAGCGGGAGCAGTGCGGGGTTTCCTGTGGTTGCTGTGTCTGATGAGGTTAACACTGTTTTTTGAGGTTTAACTCTTTAAGAGGCACGAGGAAGGAAGCGCCGGGCTCTGCAGAGCCGGGCTGTGGGAGCAGCAGAGGGAGCCGGGGCTGCAGAGCCCCGGAGCATCCCTGGAGCATCCCTGGAGCATCCCTGGGATCTGCCAGGGACGCTGCCTGCAGCGTCCTTGGGTGAGCTGGGGACAGCACGGGCACCGAGGGGGTGACAGGGGGTGCCACCGAGGGGGTGACACTCAGCGCTGGTGAAATCAACCCCGTTCCTTAAGGACTTTGCACTGCACGCCTCTGGGATCGGCAGGAAAAGTTTTTTCCCTGAAAAGTTATTTTCCTGGCAGAGCCCAGGACCCTGCTGTGCTCCCAGGGCGACCTGAGCAGCCCCCTGGGGGTGGGCTCAGCTCCACCAGGCTGAGCCCAAATCCTGCCAGATCTTCGGGGTGCCCCTTGCCCCGAGGCTGCTGCTCGGAGGGATGCTGGGTTTTCCCAAGGGCTGACTCAGACCGGGAGGGAAACTCGGCTGCTCTGTGCAGGGCAACCCCCGCTGCTGCTGCTGCTGCTGCTGCTCCCGGTGCCGCACGTCCCCAGGACTGCCCAGGTAAAGATTCCCTGCTTTTCCCGGCTCCCAGCCCCCTGCACTTAACCCCAAAACGCCCCAGCTGCTGCTCCTCACCCGCTGCTCCTGCGTTTATCCGCTCCTGGCACGGCCCCTGGGGAAGGTTCCGTGGGATTTGGGGTGGCACCGCGGAGCGGCTTCTCCCTTCTCTGCTGAATTCCCATTTCTTCAGCCCCAATGCACCAGGAGGCTTCACCAGAGACGAGCTCAAAGCCCAGCATCTCCAAACGGCCTCGTTCCTCTGGCTGTGGAGCCTGCAGACGCCTCTGAACTGGAATAAAAACACAAACGTGATTCCAGAGGAGGCAAAGCCGGCCACCCTCGCAGAGCTGGGCAGATTTAGAGTTTCCAGCTCTTCTCATAGGACCCCCACTGCATTTTTTTTTTTTTTTTTCATTTGCCCTGGCTTGCAGAAGGCTCGTGGGCACTTGGGAACCCACAGCCTCTCTTTGTAGGTCAGGTAATTGGGAGGCACTTGAAGTTTGACTCACCCACGACGAATGCTTGATCAGCCCTAAAACCAAACCAGGTCACCTCACCCCGCACGAGAAGCACCAAGGCACTCACTGCTGCTGCTGCTGCTGGCCTGGTTTGGGCTGAAAAACAGCATTTTGAAGCTTTCACTGAGGACTCTGGCCTCCCTCCAGGGAAACTTGCCGTTCCTGACAGCAGGTATTGCACGGGGCAGGGAAACGAGGGAGCGTGGGCTTGGCTGGGTGCTCAGCCCCGGGCAGGAGAATGGGGGTGCAGGGCTGGTTCAGGGTCTGCTCTGTGACCCCAGAGGGACCTGTGGGGATGCAGGAGCCACCCCAGCTCCAGAGGGATGCTTCCAGGAGGATGTTTCTCTTGGAAAGGAGCAGTTTCCCCTGGGAGCTGCATCTCCCTGCTCCCCAGCAGCCTGTGCCGTGCATGCTGCAGAGCCCTTCCAGCCCCACATCCAGCCCCACGAGGCTGGCGAGGCTGGGAACTCTTTCCTGGTTTGTGGGAATTCTCCCAAAGAGGCTGTGGAGAGAGGCAAAGGGAGCAGGGGGAAATCTGAGCAACTGTGGGATGCAGGAACGCGGGTGACTCCTTGGGCTGGGTGGGAAGGGCTGGCCTGGGATTTTGGGGCTGTCTCAAGGGGCTCACTGCTGGGAAGAGCCTGGCTCAGCCTGGGCAGGACCTGTGGGAAAGATGTTATGGAAACAGGGAGTTTCCATCCCATAAAACCATGTCTGAGCATCCCTAGGGATGGAGGCTGCAGGACAAGCTCTCAGGGCAGCAGCCCCACTCTGGCCACCTTTAAAGAGCTTTCTTTTTTTTTATGTTTAGCTAGAATTTCCTGATTTCCTGACCCCGTTGCCTCGTGTCCTGTCCCTGGGCCACTCCAGGAGGAGTTTGGCTCCCTCACCTTTACTCCCCCACCAGACATCCACCCCAAGGATCCCCCTTGAGCCCCCTCCTCTCCAGGCTGAGCAGCTCCCCAGCCTTTCCACACTTCCAGGCTCTCCTGACCCTCATTCCAGGGTGTCCTCATCTCTCCTGTCCCCGAGGGAGCCCAGCCCTGCAGGCAGCACTCGGGGGGCTCTGGGCAGAGGGGCAGCACCCCCTGCCCCCCAATCCCCCCTTCTCCAAGGCAGGGCTGCTCAGATCTCCCTGCCACAACCCCACGCTGCCTTCCCCGCTCCCGGCAGGGTTCGCTCCATGTTTTTTTACCCCCCAGACTATGCCGCAGCCCAGCCCATGGCGGGGGCCGGCCAGGCTTTGGTGCTGCCCGTCCTGCTCTGCTGCCTGTGCCCAGGTGAGTGACGGCGACAGGGCCACCAGGATGGCACCCGAGCCACGCCCTGGAGCCGCGGGGGATTTGGGGTGGGAACAGGACCATTACAGAGCTGTGGGGTTGAGGGGGAGCATTGCAGGGGGGGCGTCCCGTGCCCTGCAGCTTCTTCTCCTTCCCTCTCCAATCCTTGGAACGGGGACAATCCCTCCGGGGACAATCCCAGGCTGCCGGGGCCATTCCCAGCCCCCTGCAGCCCCTGTGCCCGGCTCTGCCCCTGCAGCCCCGAGCACAGCCCTGCCCTTTCCAGGAAGGGCAGATGGAGCCGATAGCGCCTGAGAGCCGGGGCTGCTGCAGAGCTTCATCTGATAGGGAAGGGCAGCGCCCCCGCCGCCCTAATCTTGGGGATCAGAGCTCTCAGAGCGCAGGTTATTTCCCTGCAGTCATTTAAACATTAGAGCAAAACCTGAAATCGGTGAAACCGGCGAAACGGGCCGTTTCTGACTGCCGGGATGAGTCAGCGGGGGAAGCGGTGGGGGGTTCATCCCAGCAGGGACAGAGTGTCCCAATCCCACCCAGCCTGGCTTTGGGACCCAGGGGCAGCCACAGCTCCTCTGGACACCCCGTGCCAGCGCCTGCCCACCCTCAGGGGGAGCAGCTTCTCCCCGGCATCACTCCTGCCCCCCTTTTACCCGCATCCCGTGGGATTGAAAGTGAGCAGGGCGGGCTGTGCTGCGGCTGCATCCCAGGGGGCAGAGCAGCTCCCTGCCGAGCCCTGCTGTCCCGGGACAGCCCCCCGAGCCCACCCTCTGCTGTCCCGGGACAGCCCCGGAGCCCACCCGCTGCTGTCCCGGGACAGCCCCGAGCCCACCCTCTGCTGTCCCGGGACAGCCCCGAGCCCACCCTCTGCTGTCCAGGGACAGCCCCGAGCCCACCCTCTGCTGTCCCGGGACAGCCCCGAGCCCACCCTCTCTGGCAGGTGCTGCGAGCTTCGAGTGCAAGGGGCGCGTGTGGATCGAGCCCGCGCCCGTGGTGCTCCTGGGCTCCGACATCGCCGTCGGCTGCCGCTCCTGGCTGGGCTGCCCCTCGCAGCAGCTCCTCATCCTCCTCAACTACAGCCGCCCCCCGGGGACCCCGCTGGCCCTGCCCGGCGGCGCCGTGCTGCTCCGGCTGCGCCGCTTCCAGATGCCCTTCGCTATTGTCGCCTGCTTCTCCCGCTGTCCCCACAGCGACCGCCTGGTGTGCGGCACGGAGCTCCGGGCGGGCTGTGAGTGCCCCCAGCCCCTGGCGAGCCCCGCGGAGCCGGGGGGGCCGTGCCCTCACCCGGCCTCGCCCCCGCAGACCCCCCGGACCCCCCCGGCAACCTGAGCTGCGCCATCGCCGAGGGCTCGGAGCGCCTGGAGTGCGGCTGGGAGCCGGGACGGGTCACGCACCTGCCCACCCGGCACAGCCTCCACCTGCGCAGGTGAGCCCCCGGGGGTGGCACCCGGCGACAGCCCCGGTGGCAGCCCCGGTGACAGTGGGGCTGCCGTGCCCCAGTTCCACTTCCTACAGCTCACGTTTTGTCACCTCCTGCCCGAGAGCCGCAGGCTGAACCGCAGGCTGCGCTCGGCAGGGCAGGGGCAGTGCCCGGCTGGCATCCACCGTGCCCCCGCGGCTTCCAGCTGAGGGGCTCCCTCCGAGACAAAGGGGGTGAACCCAGCCCTGCCCAAAGGCCAAAGCCCAGCCTGAAGCTGAAGCAGAGGCGCTGGCTGCTGCACGGTGTGCCACAGCCCCACCCGGGGATGCTCCTGCCACCAAGGTCCCCACGGTGCCACCTGGCATGTCACAGCCCAGCCCAGGATGCACCCATGGTTCCAGCCTGGCAGGCTCTCAGTCCTCCTGACTCAGTTTTAAGGATATTAAATCCCATCAGACGGAAGCTTTGTGAGGAGAAGGGACAAAGCTCCTGCCTAAATTTGGGAACAAACTGAAGCGTGCAGCCAGAAAGGAAGGAAGGAGTTCCCTTCCCACTGTGAAAATACAAATCCCCAGCAGCAGTGTCAGGGAAGGGAGTGACTGTCCAGCTTGCTTTAGGGGTGACAGTGTCTGGGTTTGGGGATGGCCATGCCCTGGCCACGAGCTGTGACACCTCAGGAGCCAGGGTGGCCGTGCCAGTGGAGGGGGGAGACGCTGGGATGGGCACGACAGGTGCTGGGATGGGCATTCTGCTTCCAGGGCGGTGGCACAGGATGAGGAGGATGAGGAGGATGAGGAAGAAAAGACCTTCCCTGCAGACTCACCTGTGCTGCTGAGAGAGCTGCACAATGACAGCCACTACTCGGTGTGGGTGCAGGCCAGCAACGCGCTGGGCACTGCCCGCTCGGCCCCGCGGCGCCTCCGCCTGCAGGAGCTCGGTACGGCCGCCTGGCCGTCTGTCCATCCGTCTGTCCTTCCGTCTGTCCATCCATCCATCCATCCATCCATCCATCCATCCATCCATCCATCTCTCCATCCCTCATCCATCCATCGATCCTTCCTCCATTATCCCTCCACATCCCTCCCTCCCTCCCTCCATCATCCCTCCCTCCCTGCATCCCCCCGTGAGCAGCACAGCATGCTGGGGCTGTGCGTGGCCACTCTGCCCTGCAGTGTCCCTGTGGGGACACCCCGAGCCCAAGGAGAGCCCCCTCCCCTCCCTTCCCTCCTGTCCCCACAGTGGTGCCCGCTCTGCCCGTGGCCGTCGGCGCCAAGACCACGGACACGTCCCCTGCCATCACCACCACCCGCTGGAGGAGCCGGACCCGGCTGAGGAGCGTGCACTGCGAGGAGAGGCACAGGGCCACGGGCACCCCGACGTGGCATGTGAGCCCCCCGGGACCCCCCAAACCCCCCTACCTGTCCCCGGTGAGGAGATGCCAGTCCCGCTCCCGCTGGAGACCCCGCGGGCAACGGGAATATTTGGGGTCATCCCAAACTCACCCCTTTGCTCTGTGCTGGTCCAACGGGCACCCCCAGGCAGGGCCCGCTCGGGGGGCAGCAGAGCTGGTGCCATCTGGGACAGCAGAGGGCCTCGTGGGCAGGGTTAGCTCAGCTTTTTGAGCAAAAAGACGGAATTCCAAATATTTCCAAACGTTCCGCTCTGCGAGGACAGGGCACAAAATCCTGGGGGATGCTCAGCGCACACCCCAGACAAAACCACCCTGGGGCAGGGATGGGAACACCCCCGAGTGCTGCCAGGGCTGAGCCTGACCCCCGCTGCCACAGGAGCCCCAAAACCCCCGTGGTGACACATGGCTCTGGCTGTGCCCCGCAGGGTGGCACTGGAGGGGACAGGGCGGGTCGTGCCCATGCCCCGTGCCCGGGGGTGGCACTGGGGACCCGCCGGGCCGCGCTCCCCCAGCGCCCTGCTTCCCTCGCAGGTGGAGATGTGTGACAAGGTGCCACAGGAGGGTCCCCGCTGGCAGCACGAGCTGCAGAGCGACACCGAGTTCGTGTTCCAGGCCAGGTGCCGGCTCGGCACCGCCCACAGCCCCTGGAGCGCCTGGAGCCCCCCCTTCCTGTACCGCACCCCCGAGGCAGGTGGGCTCAGCGCCGGTGACACCCGCGAGTGGCATTTGCCAGCCCTGCCACAGCTGTCCCCGCCCTGGAGGGGGTTCAAAGTGCCTGCGGATGTGGCACTTGGGGACACGGGGCAGTGGTGGCCTCGGCAGTGCCGGGGGTGGTTGGGCTGGATGTTCCCAGCGGGCTTTTCCCACCGAGCAGATTCCAGCATCCTTAGTGCCTTGCTCGCTGCCCTGCGTGGAAAAATCACATCAGCCGAGGTGTCGCGACAAATCGCGGTCACCCTGAGGCAGCTCCGCGCATCCATGCCAGCTGCTGGCCTGGGCACGAGCCTGGCACGGCCGGCTGGGCTATCCCGGGGAGCCCAGCGGGGAACGGGGGATGCTCTCACCGCAAACAGCAGCGCCCCCGCTGCTCTCCGTCTGCGCCCTCTCCTCTGGCAGCCCGGGCGGGAGGGGCTTCCTGGGGGGCTGCGGCTGTGCGCGAGCCCCGGGGCCCCCCGGTGTGTCACCCCTGGTGTGTCACCCCCGGTGTGTCACGGGGTCCCCCCTAGAGGTGTCCCTCCGGTGTGTCACGGGGTCACTCCCGGTGTGTCACGGTGTCCCTCCGGTGTGCCCTCCGGTGTGTCACGGTGTCCCCCTCGAGGTGTCACTCCCGGTGTCACGGTGTCACTCCCGGCGTACCCTCCGGTGTGTCACGGTGTCCCTCCGGTGTGTCACGGTGTCACTCCCGGAGTGTCACGGTGTCACTCCCGGTGTACCCTCTGGTGTGTCACGGTGTCCCCGTCGAGGTGTCACTCCCGGTGTCACGGTGTCACTCCCAGGGTGCCCTCCGGTGTGTCACGGTGTCCCCCTCGAGGTGTCACTCCCGGTGTCACGGTGTCACTCCCAGGGTGCCCTCCGGTGTGTCACGGTGTCCCCCTCGAGGTGTCACTCCCGGTGTCACGGTGTCACTCCCAGGGTGCCCTCCGGTGTGTCACGGTGTCCCCCTCGAGGTGTCACTCCCGGTGTCACGGTGTCACTCCCAGGGTGCCCTCCGGTGTGTCACGGTGTCCCCCTCGAGGTGTCACTCCCGGTGTCACGGTGTCACTCCCGGCGTACCCTCCGGTGTGTCACGGTGTCACTCCGGTGTGTCACGAGCCCCCGCCGCCGCTCCCGCCGTGTGGCGCCGCCTGGGCCGGGCGCTGCCCGACGGCAGCCGCGAGGTGACGGTCTTGATCAAGGTAAGGCGGGTCGGGGCAGCCTCCGCGGGGTTTCGGCTCCGCTGCTCCTCCCCGAGCGGCCGCCGGTGCCGCCCTCCCCGAGGAGCCCTTCGGCCGCGGCGACGCCAGGAAAACGCCGGCCCGGCTCGGAGCCAAATCCCCCCATCCCTAAAAAACCCCACCAGGCGGGGCACAGCGGTGCGGGTGTCCCGGCCATGCCCAGACCCCTGTCGCTGTGCCCCGCAGCCGCTGGCCCCGCGGGATGCCCGCGGGCGGATCCTGGGCTACGCCGTGAGCGCCGGGAGCGCGGCGGGAGCGCGGCCGCTGTGCCGCACCGCCGGCACCGAGTGCGCCGTGCTGGTGCCGCCCGGAGCCCGCAGCCTCCTGGTCACCGCCCGCAACGCCAAAGGGGTCTCCAGCCCGGCCAGCATCCCCCTGAACCGGGCTGCAGAGCAGGAAGGTACGGGGCAACCACGGGGACGGAGAGCATCGTGCCCGGGGTGCGGGGACGCGCCCTGGCACGGCTCTGCCCGCGCCACCGGGGGCGCAGAGTCCTCCAGACGAGGCCCCTGGAGATGCTCCCCAGCTGGATGTGGCATCATGGAATTCTGAAGTGGTTTGGGTTGAGAGAGACCTCAAAGCCCGGCTCATTTCATTGTCCCGTGGACAGGGATACTTCCCACCTCCCATCCAGCCTGGCCTTGGGCACTGCCAGGGATCCAGGGGCAGCCACAGCTGCTCTGGGAATTCCATCCCAGCCCCTCCCCACCCTGCCAGGGAACAATTCCCAATTCCCAATCTCCCATCCATCCCTGCCCTCTGGCAGTGGAAGCCATTCCCTGTGTCCTGTCCCCCCAGGCCTTGTCCCCAGTCCCTCTCCAGCTCTCCTGGAGCCCCTTCAGGCTCTGGAATCTATCTCCTAAAGCTGCAGCAACAAACTTATTTTTAAATTTGCCCTGCCCGTGTTGTCTGGCAAAGCAAAGGGTGCCAGGCTGCTCCCCTGCTCCAGAGCAGCTCCTGCAGCCTCTGCCAGCCCCCACTGTGAGCTGGGTCCCTACAAACTGAAAAAGAAGGGGGGAAAAAAACCCCTTTTAAATCCTTTTAGGACCACCTTATGTCCCTGTGCCCTGGGCTGTGGTTTTTCCCTACAACCACACTTTGCTAGTTCTGAAAAACGTCTCTGAATGAGCAATGGGAGGGGAAAGTCCCATTCAAGCAGAGGACAAACACATGACTAAAAAGAAACTGAAGAGAAACAAGGTGGAAAAACCTCTCTAAGCTGTGATGTTTATCAGAACCGTGCAGGTTTCTGGTAAGCAGGGGCAGCTGAAGCATTTCAGGGACGTGACAGAGCCGATGGTGTGGGCTTGGGATTCGCAGGCACAGAGCTCCACATCTGGCTGGGGATGAGCACAGCTGGCCAGGAGGGCCAGGGGCACCTGGGCTGTGCCAGCCACAGCGTGGGCACAGCCCCAGGGCAGGGACTGTCCCCCATGAAGGACAGTGAGGGGCTGGAGCGTGCCCAGGGCAGGGAATGAGTCGGGAAGGGGCTGGAGAATCCCTGAGGGAGCTGGGAAGGGGCTGGAGAATCCCTGAGGGAGCTGGGAAGGGGCTGGAGAATCCCTGAGGGAGCTGGGAAGGGGCTGGAGAATCCCTGAGGGAGCTGGGAAGGGGCTGGAGAATCCCTGAGGGAGCTGGGAAGGGGCTGGAGAATCCCTGAGGAGCTGGGAAGGGGCTCAGCCTGGAGCACAGGAGGCTCAGGGGGCCCTTGTGGCTCTGCACAGCTCCTGCCAGGAGGGGACAGCCGGGGGGGTCGGGCTGTGCTCCAGGAACAGGGACAGGAGCAGAGGGAACGGCCCCAGGCTGGGCCAGGGCAGCTCAGGGTGGATTTTGGGAATATTCCTCCTGGAAAGATTCTCCAGCCCTGGCACAGCTGCCCAGGGCAGGGGTGGAGTCCCCATCCCAGGAGGGATTCAAAAGCCACATGGATGTGGCACCTGGAGACACAGGGCAGTGGTGGCCTTGATCTTTAAGGTCTTTTTCAACCGAAATGATTCTATGAAATACAGATCAATACATAAAGATAGAATATGTGTATAAATCTTTCTGTTTAGCTATAAACCCACCATATTCTATAATCCCCTGTTCACCCTTCAGTTTTCAAAACCTTCCAGGAAAGCCACATTTGCCCTGGGCTGGGCTGACCCTTCCCGGTCTCCAAGGATGAGTTTGGGCTGACAGCCCTTTCCCTCTTTCTCCACAGAATTCCCAGCCCCAGAGGCCGTGGAGGTGAAGCCTGAGCAGCAGAGCAGGGTCCTGGTTCAGTGGCAGCCCCCCCAGCCCAGCCAGAGCCCCCCGCTCTGGTTCATCCTGGAGTGGCTCTCCAGCCCCCAGCACGGCCAGCGGGAGCAGTTCTGCTGGGAGAGAATCCCACACCGGGAAACGCACACCTACATCCAAGGTAGGACACCCAGGACCCCCTCTTCTGCCTGGCACAGCTCCTCAGCACCTTATCAACCCAAAGCAGAGTGTGAATCCCAACTAGATTAGAAATCCAAACCAGATTATTAATCCAAATTAGATTCCGAACTATAAACCAGAATTAGATTATAAATCCAAATCAGACTATCAGTTCCAATTAGATTATAAATCCAAATCAGACTATAAACCAGAATCAGATTATAAATCCAAATTAGACTATCAATCCAAATCAGACTATCAATCCCAACTGGAGCATAAATCCAAATCAGACTATCAATCCCAATTAGATTATAAATCCAAATCAGACTATCAATCCAAACTAGATTATAAATCCAAATCACACTATCAGTTCCAATTAGATTATAAATCCAAATCAGATTATAAACCAGAATCAGATTATAAATCCAAATTAGACTATAAATCCAAATCAGAGTATCAATCCAAACTAGAGTATAAATCCAAATGAGACTATCAATCCCAATTAGATCATAAATCCAGATCAGACTATCAATCCAAACTAGATTATAAATCCAAATCACACTATCAGTTTCAATTAGATTATAAATCCAAATCAGACTATAAACCAGAATTAGATTATAAATCCAAATCAGACTATCAATCCCAATTAGAGCATAAATCCAGTCAGACTATCAATCCCCATTAGATTATAAATCCAAATCAGACTATCAATCCCAATTAGATTATAAATCCAAATCAGGCTATCAATCCCAATTAGAGCATAAATCCAAACCAGACTATCAATCCCAATTAGATTGTAATTCCAAATCAGACTATAAAGGCACCTTCATTTGAGTGTGAGCCCCTGCCCACTTGTTTTTGGGGAGTGGGGCCATGAAGAGCCCTTAGGGGAGGAGGAGGAGGAGGAGGGCAGCAGTTGGAGATTTGAGGGCAGGATTGGGGTCCCTGGGTGACGCTCACAGGGGAGGGAGGGGATGGGGAGGGAAAAAAAAATGAATTAAAATTGAGCTGGTGGGCCAGGAACGACCCCAGACCCACAGGGGCCACCCCAGCCGCTCTCAGCACTGGGTAACCCTCCCCTGGCCCAGCCCAGAGCCTCCCCGCAGGCAAAATCCCATTTTTTGGGAGGTAAACCTGTCCTCTCCCGGCAGGGGCAGCGGCTCTCCCGAGCGTGCGGCTGTACGCGGTGTATCCCGGCGGGATCAGCGCCCCCCGCCCAGGTGAGCCTGGGGGGGAAAGCCGGGGAAAAGCTGCCGGGGAAAAGGTGCTGCTCCTCACCTGGGGCATCCCCCGGGCTGGGGAGGGGGCAAACCCTGCCCCGAGCAGGGCACGGAAAGATAAAACGCATTCCGTCAATGTATTTGTGTAAAACCCTAATTTAATGCATTTAATCGGTGTGTTTAATACATTTCATCAATGTATTTAATGCACTTAGTCAGTGTATTTGTGTAAACCCCAAATTAATACATTTAATCTATGTATTTAATACATTTAATCAATGTATTTGTGTAAAACTCCAAATTTAATACATTTAATCAATGTATTTAATACATTTAGTGTATTTAATACACTTAGTCAATGTATTTGTGTAAACTCCAAATTTAATGCATTTAATCAATGTATTTAATACATTTAGTGTATTTAATACACTTAGTCAATGTATTTGTGTAAACTCCAAATTTAATACATTTAATCAATGTATTTAATACATTTAGTGTATTTAATACACTTAGTCAATGTCTTTGTGTAAACCCCAAATTCAATACATTTAATCAGTGTATTTAACACATTTAATCAATATATTTGTGTAAACCCCAAATTTAATATATTTAATCAATGTATTTAACACATTTAATCAATGTATTTGTGTAAAACCCAAATTTAATACATTTAATCAATGTATTTGTGTAAACCCCAAATTTAATACATGTAATCAATGTATTTATGTAAAATCCATCTCTAGCTGGTCTTTGCTCCCTGCACAGACCCAGAACACCCACGAACCTCATTTTCCTTCAGTGGAGTTGTTGTCCCTTTCCATGGCAGAAAAGTGACATTTAAGCAATGTATTTGTGTAAAACCCAAATTTAATACATTTAATCAATGTATTTGTGTAAACCCCAAATTTAATACATGTAATCAATGTATTTATGTAAAATCCATCTCTAGCTGGTCTTTGCTCCCTGCACAGACCCAGAACACCCACGAACCTCATTTTCCTTCAGTGGAGTTGTTGTCCCTTTCCATGGCAGAAAAGTGAGGTTGCACATGCAGAGCTCACAATAAGATGTCACGCATAAACCAAAATACAGCAGATATTAAAAAAAAAAAAGGCAAAATATAAAAGGAAAATAGATCTTTTCCAGAGAGCAGAGCCAGCCTGCCCTTCCCACCTGCAGTGGGAATCACAGAGCGCTTGGAAGGGACATGTGCAGCTGGGCCAGGCAGCCTCAGTGCTGGGAAGGGTTCAGGGGAGGAAAAGCTCCTCTCCATCACCGGGGGCGGCTTTGGGCACCCTCCAGAGCTGGGCAGGGCCTCGAGGGAGAGGCCAAGCTGTGACACCAGAGAGGGGTCTGAGACACCAGAGCAGGGTCTGAGACCCCAGAGCCGGGTCTGAGCCAACAGAGCCGGGTCTGAGCCCCCAAAGGAGGATCTGAGACACCAGAGCAGGGTCTGAGACCCCAGAGCTGGGTCTGAGCCCCCAGAGCTGGGTCTGTGACTCCAGAGCTGGGTCTGAGCCCCCAGAGCTGGGTCTGAGCTCCAGAGCTGGGTCTGAGCCCCCAGAGCAGGGTCTGAGCCCCCAGAGCCGGGTCTGAGCCCCCAGAGCTGGGTCTGAGACACTAGAGCAGGGTCTGAGCCCCCAGAGGAGGGTCTGAGACACCAGAGCTGGGTCTGAGCCCCCAGAGCTGCCCCAGCACAGCCCAGGTGGGGCTGAGGGCCAGGGCTGGGCTTAAACAGAGCCCGCCCTGGGCAGGGTGGGTGGAGGGGCCAGGTGGGGCTGGCAGGGCCATCAGGGGCTGTCAGAGCCAGGAGTACCTGCAGGTGACACCTGAGGGGACACCCGAGGGTGTCCTCAGCTCCTGGCACCGATGTCACCTGGGGTGGGTCCTGTGCAGCTGCTCAGGGACTTCTCCTGGGCTTCTGCAGAAGCAACTGGAGAAGGGCAGCTCTTCCCAAGAAATGGGAGCAGACATTCCTGGCCGGGTGCCCCGTGGTTGGCCCTGGCTGCTGGGTGCTGTCCTCGGAGCAGGGCTCTCCTCCATGGCACCAAATCCAGGACAAGGGATCCCGAGGGAATTGCTGAATTGGCCAGGATCAAAGCTGGCTGCTTATGTCAGCTCAAAGAGGCTTCTTGCCATGGCAGGGCCCTCAGCTGCAGACCTTCCCTCACTGCATGGAAATAATCAGGAAATTCATTCCCGAGGGGTGCAGGCACTTTGGGAATCACAGAATCCCAGACTGGTTTGGGTTGGGAGGGACTCAAAGCCCAGCCAGTGCCACCCCTGCCATGGCAGGGACACCTCCCACCATCCCAGGCTGCTCCAGCCTGGCACTGCCAGGGATCCACAACTTCTCTGGAAAACCCGTTAAACAGCCTGGGAATGCTTGTGAAAAATGATGGATCTCCCCAGGGGGATTAATCCTTGTTTTGGGTGCTGAGGGGAGGGAGGGATGTGGTGGGAAGAGGTTCTGTAGGTGGGGACAGGAGCTGACCAGCACCACCTTTAATTGTGGGGACACTGGAGAGCCCAGCAGAGCTGGAGTCACTCGTGACTTCAGGGAGCTTAACTCTTCTCGTTACACCACTGCTTATTTTCCTAAAAAGACAGAACCAAGGCAGGTTTTGTGTCACCCAGAGCCCTCTAAAGGCACCACAGACATCCCCCTCCCCTCTCTGTTGCAGCCCCTGCGGAGGAGCCGCTCCTGGGCAGCGCCTACAGCGAGCCGTCCCAGGGTAAGGAGGGCAGCCCTGCCTTGCTAAGCCAGGCTTTCTCCTGGCCACCAGCGGGAGGTTTAACCCGAGCAGCTCCTGGCAGCGGGAATTGGGAGCTGTCAGATGCTTTGGGGGTGGTCAGAGCTGAAAAAGGAGGTTTTCCCCACATTCAGGGAAGGCTGTGTGCTCTCGGGTGTGAGCAGCACCCACAGACTGCAAGCTTTGAGTTCCACTTCCCAACGAGGTTAAAATACGATGCCCAGTCCAAGGGGGAGGGCCAAAACCAGGGAAATATCAAATTAACCTATGCAAGGGGCTGATTCCACCCTGCAGCCAGAACCAGGGATGTGTTTCAGCAGTTCCACCGTTTGGGGATGCTCTGCTTGTAAAGGTCACGATCCCTGCAGCTCTTAAACCAAAAGCAAAACCAGCCCGGGCTGAGGAATTCACATCAGCATTTCTGAGCTGGGGCAGGAAACGGTGAGTGACTGCAGCACCCAGGCCATGACCTCCTCCCTGTCCCTCCTCCTGCAGATGATGACATCCGAGTTTTCCTGGGACTGAGCCTCAGCGTGCTCGGATCATCCGTTCTCTTTGCAATTGTGATGTTTAAAAAATCAGTCAGGAAAAGGTATTCCTTGCTCCTCCTTATCTTCTTTTCTTATTTCCAATTCATAAGTTTTTACTCTTTTTTTTTTTAATATATATATATAGAAGAAATATAAAATTTATTCTGGGATGTTTTAAAACCAATGACAGAGTCCTTTTCACCTCAGCCTGAGGGCAATGTCACGCATTTATCAGGCTGTTATATGAAAAGACTTTTGGTGCTCTACAGTAAGGCAAAGACCAACTGAAAAAGTCAAATAAACATGAAATTTGTGAAATTAAAGAAGAGGAAACCCAGAGCTTCCAAGGCTGGGTGTTTTTCATGTGTCCTTCCCACCCAGACAGTTTCATCCTGCATGAGGAATATCTGAATGACCCACTGGAGTAACGTTTGGGGTTTGTTTTTGCCTTTTGTGAAGGGTTAAGGCCGCCCTGGTGTCCCTGCTGCCCAAGTGGCTGCTTGAGGACTTTCCCCACGTGGAGAACAGCAGCGTGGTGAAGTCACTGCAGGTGAGGGCACAGTGATCTCCTGGCTTTGCTTCCCCTCATTAAAGCCTGGCTTTACTGAATTATTCAGGGTGGGAAATCCCTCTGAGAACATCGAGTCCAACCAGCACTGCCCCAATTTTAAATTCCTGCAGGGAGGAGGACTCTACTCCTGTGCCAGGGCTGGACAGCCCTTTCCACAAAGAAATTTTCCCTAAAAGTCCAAGTTAAGCTCCCCTGGCATGAGTTGAGACCACCTCCTCTGGTAATATTCCCTCCTAGCTGGGAGAGGGCAGCTGCTGTGAGGAGCAGGGATGGGGAGAGGCTTCAGTTCTGAGGTGCTGGGAACTGCTCAGGAATCATTTCCCAGGCTGGAATCTCTGTATCCCCTTAAACCTGAATTCCACATTTTCTGTATTCCCTTAAACCTGAATTCCACATTTTCTGTATTCCATTAAATCTGAATTCCACATTTTCTGTATTCCCTTAAACCTGAATTCCACATTTTCTGTACTCTGTTAAACCTGAATTCCATATTTTCTGTACTCTGTGAAACCTGAATTCCACGTTTTCTGTATTCCTTTAAACCTGAATTCCACATTTTCTGTATTCCCTTAAACCTGAATTCCACATTTTCTGTACTCTGTTAAACCTGAATTCCATATTTTCTGTATTCTGTTAAACCTAAATTCCACATTTCCTGTACTCTGTGAAACCTGAATTCCACATTTTCTGTATTCCTTTAAACCTGAATTCCACATTTCCTGTACTCCATTAAACCTGAATTCCACATTTCCTGTACTCTGTTAAACCTGAATTCCACATTTTCTGTATTCTGTTAAACCTGAATTCCACATTTTCTGTATTCTCTTAAATCTGAATTCCACATTTCCTGTACTCTGTTAAACCTGAATTCCACATTTTCTGTATTCTCTTAAATCTGAATTCCACATTTTCTGTATTCTGTTAAACCTAAATTCCACATTTCCTGTACTCTGTTAAACCTGAATTCCACATTTTCTGTATTCTGTTAAACCTGAATTCCACATTTCCTGTATTCCATGGCCACAGCTGCCCGGGGCCGGGAGGGACCTCACATCTCATCCCATTCCCTCCCTGGGCCCAGGCTGCTCCAAGCCCTAATGAGAGCTCTCCTGTTACCAAACCCTGCTGCCTCAGCCCTCGTTTTTCCCCAGGACAAGGCAGATTTCCCCAGCTCCATCCTCCAGGAGCCCTTCCTGGCCTCCGCTGACCCCGCACTCTCGGATGTCCAGGAGGTGCCGGCGCAGGAGCGGCACCAGAGCCTGGACAGCGAGGCCAGGGCGGAGGTGCCCGAGCCCAGGGATGTCCCAAGGACCGTGGTGGTCCCCAGCAGCCTGTCCCCAGAGCAGTTGGGTGCCTACAAGCCCCAGCTCTCCGGCGGGAACGCTTTGGGATACGTGGCTGCCGGGATCCACCAGACGCAGCCGCCCGCGGCCATCCCGCAAGCAGAGGTGGGAATGTCCCGCCTGGACTACAGCAGCCCCGTCCCAAAGCTGTGGGAGCAGCAGGGAGGGACACCCCAGCTGTGCCTGCTGGACAAGATCAACCTGGTGCTCAACAGCAGCCTGGAATTCCCGGGGCAGGCCGGACACGGATCCGTCCCGGAGCAGCGCTGGGAGCTGCCCGGCGATGGCCCCGAGCAGATGCTGGTCCCCGAGGAGCTGCTGTCCTGCCTGAGAGCCACCAACAGGGACCCTGCCTCCCACAGAGCATGGCAGGGCTGCTCTGAGAGCGGCTGGAATTGGGGATAAAGCCCTGGAGCAGCGGCCGAGGCGGTGTCAGCACCGGGATTGCCGATGGGAGAGCCGGAGCAAAACTCCCGAGTGGAATGTTGCTCGCTTACTCCACTGCAGGATCTTGTGGCTGCCTGGGAATCCTGGGCTGGCAAATCCCAGTTTTAACCTTACCTCACACTGGCAGAAGCAAAAAAAAACCCATAAAGCTTGGATTCCTGGAATGCCAAGCAGGAGATTCCTGCAGGATGCAATATCTTCAATTACTGCCCAGCATCATCCTCTCGTTAAGGCCAAAAGTTTGGAGCACTTCATTCCCAAAAGTTTGGAGCACTTCATTCCCAAAAGTTTGGAGCACTTCATTCCCAAAAGTTTGGAGCACTTCATTCCTGGAGTTAATTGCAGTTAAAATGGATTAAAAAAAATCCCTCAGACATCCTGGCAGAGATGTGGAAAATATTTTGGGACTGCTCCTCATGAACAGATACCACGCCAAGGAGGATTTATGTGTCACACTGGTACCAAGAACATGGAATATTTTCTGTATTTCATTTTCCTCCCATTTCCAATAAAAACCCACTCAGGTGAGAACAAACCTCCACCTGCTGCCAGGCTGATCTAAAAACAGTGACAAAACATTGATCACTGGCCAAACCCTTCCCTTTGGGCGAGGGATTTGTCATCTCACAGCACCCTGTCACCCCCAGCCTGGCTGGGAAGGGCAGTGTGGCACAGGAAAATGGGATTTATCCAGCATGGATTTGGATCTCTGGGCACCCAGGAGGTGAAACACAGCAGCCTCCTTCCTTCAGCAGCCCTGAAACCGTTTCCAGGTGTTCTGGGACTTACAAAATATTCCCAATTTATTTTTTTTTCCAGTTGTTCCTAGGCACTGTGAGCATTTCTCCATCAGCTGTTGCACAAGTGGATTAATTTTGTTGTTTGTCCTCAACCCTTCCAAACCCCCCTCGTGTGTGCCGTGCCTGTTCCTCCCTGCCCCAGGAATCTGTCACTGCTTCCAGAGGGGCAGTGCCCTGCCAAGGAGGGGAGGATTCTCCCTCAGAAGCAGCAAACCAACACAGAAATGGGAGTGTGGCACGGCAGGGAGCCCAAAACTAAATTAGAAAGTGCTGCCTGCGCAGGAAGGAAATTGTACAAGAACACCACACGACTCTGAGCAGCCCAAACGTGAGGAGGGGGGGAAGTTTTGTTTTTTTTCAGCGTCCACATCCTGAAACTCGTGGTGCTCTTTCACCTGAGCTGCCAAAGCTCGGGGGGGAATGCTCCTCCAGCCAGCAAACAGGGCTGGTCCTGCCCTTCAGGAGCTGCTGGGTGGATTTCCAGCCCCGGGAATCCTGCAAATCCCCATGGGCAGAGGAGCACAGCTCCTGTTCTCCCAGTTCTCCCAGCAGCAGGGCAGGGATGGAGAATTCCCAGCTCCCATCACGGATGGATACCAGAGAGCCACCAGTGCCACCCTCCCACTGATCCCTGGGAGATGCAGGAAATATTTCTGCTAATAAAGGAAATATTTCTGCTAATAAAGGGAATATTTCCGCTAAAGGAAATATTTCACAGGTGCCCAGAGCAGCGGTGGCTGCCCCTGGATCCCTGGCAGTGCCCAAGGCCAGGCTGGACACTGGGGCTGGGACAGAGGGAGGTGTCCCTGCCATGGCAGGGGTGCCACTGGGTGGGATTTAAGGTAAACCCAAAACATTCTGGGATTCTGTGATCCCAAACACCATCCCAGGCTGCTCAAGCCCCATCCAGCCTGGCCTGGAACACTCCCAGGAATGGGGCATCCCATGAAGCCCGTCACAGAGTCACTCCCATTTGTTTTAACTTCTCAGGGTTCCCTCCTTCTCTCAAATATTACAAACCCCCTAATTTTTGATATCAGGGTTTTCTATCCCCTGTTTTCAGCTTGGTTTTACCGTTGGCAGTCGGATCCAGTGGCAGAGATTCCCACTTGTTTATCGGCTCAGGAATGAGCTCCACGGTTTTCAGGACCCCCAGAGACGCACCACGGTGCTGTCCCATCACCACCAAAGTTCTGACAAAGAAAGGTTTTTACATGAAGGGAAGGAGGGAACAAGTGAAAAGGAGCAAGGAATGGGGTGCAGGCAGTTCAGGGGGTGGGAGAGCAGAGAGAGCAGAGAGTTCAGAGAGCAGAGAGAGCAGAAAAAACAGAGAGAGCAGAGAGAACAGAGAATTCAGAGAGAGCAGAGAATTCAGAGAGAACAGAGAGAGCAGAGAGAGCAGAGAGAGCAGAGTTCAGAGAGCAGAGAGAGCAGAGGGAACAGAGAGAGCAGAGAATTCAGAGAATTCAGAGAGAACAGAGAGAGCAGAGAGAGCCACCCAGCCCTGCTCTGAACTGCAGCCCTGCAGGGCAGGGGGTGTCTCACAAGGGGAGCCCAAGGTGCAAGGAGATCCCACCACCCCAGAGATCAGCCAGACTCTCCCGTGGGACTTGTTCACCTCTCCAAAAAGTCAGCTCAGAAGGGATTTAACCTGAAACGAGACTGAAGAAACGATGAATAAATTTAACACACAATAAATGGTGTATTAAACCTGCATCTGAGCTGCAGTTTTAAACCCTTGGTGCCACTGCCATGCAGGAGGACGTGGAATTCATTCTGGTTTGAGGTTGGCAGCACAGAGCTGGGTTTGGGCTCAGCTTAGTCACCAGCGTGACCTTCACTTGCTCCTCATCTACAGTCTGGGTTAGTGCAGCTGGCAAAGCCTCAGCACCAAAGGCCAAAAGCCTCTCAAAGCCTTTGGGAAGAGCAGCAGGACCAGGAGAGGATGGGAACCTGCCCTGAGTCTCCTCTGCTGTGCAGCCCCAGCCGTGCTGGAAGCCCTGCCAGGGTCTGGCTGTCAGTAAATTGTGGAGAGATGGGGTGACAGATAAAGGCGCTGCAGGGGCTAAAATTGGATTTCAGGCTGGGAGGTGTCACAGAGCTCAGTAACACCCCAGGCCTTGGGGGATTTCTGAGCACACAGAGCGGAGATCAAAGCCCAGATTGTGACCAAGGCTGGTGCAAAGCTGCAGAGAAGTGCCTGGTTCAGCAGAACCCTCCTGAAAACGTGCCAGGGCAAGGCCAGCAGCTGCTGGGGCAGCCTCACTACAAAACTGGGGATAATCCTTAAAAAATGATGGGATCTGGGGGAGCCTCTCCCATCCCTGAGCCTCCGTGGGGTTTGCAGGAGGGTGAGCAGCCCTGGCCAGGGCTGAGCTCAGTGGCACAGACTGACACCAGGCTGGTGTTTCAGAGCACAGGATGTGAGGGGTGAGGCTGTGGCTGGCTCTCACCAGTGCCAGCCCCCAGTGCCACCTTCCCAGGGCAAATCCCACCAGGATGGCAGCGGGAGGGCCGCGGGAGCAGGGCTGGGATGGAGGAGCAGGGCTGCACGCAGAGAACACGCAGTGAGTGGCAGAGGTGAGTGGAGGAACAGGGCAGACCCTGGGATTGCTGCTCCCCAAACCAGCCCAGCATTCCCTCAGCAGAGAGGGGTGGATCTTGCCCCAGGATCAGGGACAAGCCCACGGGCTGAGCCTCTGGAGGAGGGAGCTGTGGGTGTGTTCTGTGCACCACCGGATCTCCCAGAGCAGCGCTGCTGGACCCAAACCCTCCTTGGGCCCTCCCTCGGCAGGGCTGGCAGCTCGGGGGGGGGCAGAGCAATGGGATTTTCCAGGCTGAGTCACTCATTCCATCCTGCTGGGGACAGCACACTCACAAAGGGATGGGGAACACCGAGCCACTGCTGAGGGACAGCCACCCACAGGGAGGGATGGCTCCTTCTGCTGCTGCAGCTGGGGCCAGCTCAGCTCCAGGGGCTCCAGGGAAGCAGAGAGGGACACCAGAGGGAAGTTATGGAGCCCCTGGAGCTGCTGGAGCCCCTCTGGAGCCAGGCTGGGAGAGCTGGGGGTGCTCACCTGGAGAGGAGAAGGATCCAGGAGAGCTCAGAGCCCCTGGCAGGGCCTGGAGGGGCTCCAGGAGAGCTGGAGAGGGACTGGGGACAAGGCCTGGAGGGACAGGACACAGGGAATGGCTCCCACTGCCAGAGGGCAGGGATGGATGGGAGATTGGGAATTGGGAATTGTTCCTGGCAGGGTGGGCAGGCCTGGAACAGCTGTGGCTGCCCCTGGATCCCTGGCAGTGCCCAAGGCCAGGCTGGACACCGGTGAGATTTGCCCCGTGCCCCTCTGTGCCTTCCTGGTTTTTCAGAGTTCAGTGAATCATAGGAAAAAGCAGAGTCCAGTGCTTAAAGTTATAGGAGAGGGGAAAGCAGGAAAGGAAAAGGGAGAAAAAAGATAGGGGAAAAGATAAAAAAGATAAAAAATATAGAAAAGATAAAAAGAAAAGGGAAAAGATTTTTTTTTTAAAGACAAAAAAGAAAGGGGAAAAGATGAGAAAAGTATAAAGAAGAAAGGGAAAAAATATAAAAAATGATAAAGAAAAAAGATTATAAAGAAAAAAGATAATAAAAAAGATGATAAAGAAAAAATATGATAAAGAATATAAGATAAAAAGGATAAAAAATATAAAAAATATAAAAAGGGGAAAAGAAAAAAGGGAAAAGGAAAAGGGGAAAAAAGGAAAGGAAAAAGGACAAAGAAAAAGAAGAAAAATAAAATGGAGAAAGAAAAAGTAATAGAGAAAGAAAGAAAGTAGAAAAATGAAAACAAGACAAAGGTAAAGAAAAAATATGAAAGAAGATAAGATAAAGGGAAAAAAAGAAAAATGGAAAACAAAAATATAAAGGAAAGGAAAGACAATTTACAGGAAAAAAAAAAAAAAAAGCTTTTAAAAAGGAGAAGAAAAAGGAAATAAGAAAAAAAAACAGAAGCAAAAAGGAAGCAGGCGGTGGAGTGGAGGTGATTTCCTCGTGCTGTCACAGAACACAAATCCATCCATCAGCATCCTCCCCCGAAGGGCCCCGGGCAGCGGAGCCCGCCCCGAACATTCCCGGGAGCGCACGGACCCGCAGGGACCGGGCTGCGCCCGCAGGGAAGGCGCTGGAAAACGGGAAGCGTCACGGGAACCGATGAAGGCAGAGGGGAAACAGGAGGTAAAAAGGAGCTGTTGGTATTGGGGATTTTTTGGGGTTTTTACCCCCCCCTTTCCCCCCCCCCCCCCCCAGTAAATTAATGATAATTATTGGCGGCTCTGGAAAGGAGCCCAAATGTTGCTCCTGGTTTTTGGGGGGAGGAAAAGCAGCTGGATGCTCCAAGGGAAAATTTGGGGTTCCCGGAGGCTGCGCATGTTGTGTCCCCTCATTGCTAGAGCTGCCCTGGCATACCCGTGCTGAGGGAAGAAAAACTGAGCACAACCAGGCAGAAAAACTGAGTTTTTGTCGCTGATGGCCTGAGAAGAGAAGGAACAGCAGCAGCAAGACATTAATTCATTTAAAACTCTGTTAAATGCGGCAGTGGTTGTGGGGGTGCTGGAAAATATGAGAGAAAGAAAATATCATCTTGCAGAGAGGCTAAAATGAGAGCGGCTGTGCCTCTGACGAGCCCCTCGCTCTGAGCAAAAATTCTGTTTTTTATCTCCTCTCCTCTTCCTCTTCCCTTTTTCCCTTTCTTTTCTTTTCCCTTCCTCTCCCGTCCCGAGCATCCCCCGGGCCGGGCAGCCCCCCGAGGGGCTCGGGGTCGGTAACCCCGGCCGGGGCACCGGGGGGTGCCGAATATCATCTTGCAGAGAGGCTAAAATGAGAGCGGCTGTGCCTCTGACGAGCCCCTCGCTCTGAGCAAAAATTCTGTTTTTTATCTCCTCTCCTCTTCCTCTTCCCTTTTTCCCTTTCTTTTCTTTTCCCTTCCTCTCCCGTCCCGAGCATCCCCCGGGCCGGGCAGCCCCCCGAGGGGCTCGGGGTCGGTAACTCCGGCCGGGACACCGGGGATGTCCGGGAGCCCCCCGAGCCTCCCGGGGCTGGGGATCCCCCCGTGCCGAGGAAAGGCGGCATCCCGCGGGATGCTGCTGCCCTGGGATTGTCACTGCCCCGGGATCCTCCTGTCCCGGGATTGTCACTGCCCCGGGATCCTGGGATTGTCACTGCCCCGGGATCCTCCTGTCCCGGGATTTTCATTGCTTTGGGATGCTCCTGCCCTGGGATTTTCATTGCTTTGGGATGCTCCTGCTCTGAGATTTTCATTGCCCTGGGATTCTCATTGCTTTTGGATGCTGCTGTTCTGGGATGTTCAATGTTTTGGGATTCTCCTGCTCTGGGATTTTCATTCCTTAGGGATGTTCCTGCCCTGGGATATTCCTGCTCTTGGATGCTGCTGTTCTGGGATGTTCAGTGTTTTGGGATTCTCCTGCCCTGGGATGCTTCTAACTTGGAATTTTCTCTACTGTGAGACGCTCTTGTCCCAGGATTTTCCCGCCCCGGGATTTGCTTTGCCCTGGGATGTTCCTTACCCGGGTTTTGCTTTGCCCTGGGATTTCCTTTGCCCTGGGATGTTCCTTACCTGGGATGTTCCTTACCCGGGATTTGCTTTGCCCTGGGATGTTCCTTACCCGTGATTTTCTTTGCCCTGGGATGTTCCTTACCTGAGATTTCCTTTGCCTTGGGATGTTCCTTACCTGGGATTTCCTTTGCCCTGGGATGCTGCCGCCCCGGGATTTTCCTGCCCGGGGATTTTCCCGCAGCTCTGATTCCTTCCCCACTCCTGGCATCTTTGGGAATGCCCGGGGATTTTCCCGCAGCTCTGATTCCTTCCCCACTCCTGGCAGCTTTGGGAACAGCCCCAGCCTCGGTGGGACAGTCCCGAGCTTTGGATGACCCGGGGTGCCACTGTCCCCACAGAGCTTCCCCAAAAACCCGGCCAGCGTCAGCAACCGGGGATGTGTGAGATCCGGGGCACAAATATGGGGTTTTTCTACCCGAAATGACCGAGGTGTTCCTCTCTCCTCCGCTGCCCAGCCCGTTCCCGTCAGTTCCTGGGAAGCACACAGAGGTTTTGGAGCGAGAAGCGGCGCTGAAAGGAGCGGGGACAGCCCGAGGCACATCCGGGATGGCATTTTGGGGACAGGAGCACCCACAGCCAGCTCCTGCGGGTCTCAGTGCCATGCCCTGGGGGATTTCAGTGCCCCCCAACCAGCACTGCTGATTTCCCTCCCTGCTGTGCCACCTGGGGGGTTCTCATTAATTTCCCCCTGTTAATTTCCCCGAATTTCCCATTAATTTCCCTTTTTCTTGGCTCTGAGCTGGCGTGGCTCCTCAGCAGTTCCTCATCCTTTACTCCCATCACGGCTCACGTCCTCTGACCAAAGGCTTTGAAGCGAGGCTGGATTTTAGGCTGGATTTTAAACTGGGTTTTAGGCTGGATTTTAAACTGGGTTTTAGGCTGGATTTTCAACTGGTTTTGAGGTTGGATTTTAGGCTGGATTTTAGGCTGGATTTTGAACTGGTTTCGAGGCTGGATTTTGAGGCTGGGTTTTGAGGTTGGATTTTAAACTGGTTTTGAGGCTGGATTTTGAGGCTGGATTTTGAGCTGGATTTTAAACTGGTTTTGAGGCTGGATCTTAGGCTGGATTTTGAGGCTGGATTTTAGGCTGGATTTTAAACTGGTTTTAGGCTGGATTTTAAACTGTTTTTGAGGCTGGATTTTAGGCTGGATCTTAAGCTGGATTTTAAGCTGGATTTTAAACTGGTTTGAGGCTGGATTTTAAACTGGTTTTGAGGCTGGATTTTGAGGCTGGATTTTAAACTGGTTTGAGGCTGGTTTTGAGGCTGTTTGTTTTCCTCGGGTATTTTGGGCACCGCTGTCAGCAGCAGCTGTTGGCAGGCTGTTGTTGACACAGCCCCCAGGCTTAGTGGAAGGCAGAGCATTTCCCTGAAGAAGCTGCTGAGATTGCTCATCCTGGCACTCGCGAATCACCTACAAAAGGCACCGCATGAGCAGGACCTGGCTGAGCTGAGGCACCGCTGCAAGGCTGAGCAGCACAGCCTCTGGATCCCAACAAAACCAGGGAATGTTCACTGGAAAGGTCTCACAAACTGAGCATTTGGGATTTTCTGGGGGGGAAAAAAAAAAATCTTTTTTCTACTTTACAGTAAAGTAGAGAGGAGTAAAGCAGAAAAAAAAAAAAAACCCACAAAGATCTGTATACATAATATTCCCGTTTTTCGGAGCTGGTAACAGGAATTCCTCTCTCTCCAGGCACAAAAATGCCACTTCCACGGATCGTGCCCTCGGCACTTTGGTTGGTGCTGCAGCTCACAGCAGGTAAGAGAGGCTTCTTCCTACACAGCAATTCTCTCTCGGAGGAGTAATTATCACTCAGCCTAATTAGGGTGGGGTTTTTCCAGCTTCTACCCCAAGAGCCAGTGAACCTCTTCCTTCCTGGGGTTAATAAGTGATGCAGGGACTTTGTTTGGTTTTCAGCTCCAGGCAGAGCCGTTGGCTTTGTGAGAAAAGGCAGAGGGACAGGCAGAGCTCATGAACAGGAGAAAAATCACAAAATCCCAGAATTTGGGGTTGGGGTGGAAGGACCTTAAAGCCCATCCTGCCATGGCAGAGACACCTCCCACAGTCCCAGGTACTCCAGCCCCAGTGTCCAGCCTGGCCTTGGGCACTGCCAGGGATCCAGGGGCAGCCACAGCTGCTCTGGGAATTCCAGCCCAGCCCCTCCCCACCCTGCCAGGAACAATTCCCAATTCCCAGTGTCCCATCCATCCCTGCCCTCTGGCAGTGGGAGCCATTCCCTGTGTCCTGTCCCTCCAGGCCTTGTCCCCAGTCCCTCTCCAGCTCTCCTGGAGCCCCTCCAGGCCCTGCCAGGGGCTCTGAGCTCTCCCTGGATCCTTCCCCTCTCCAGGTGAACATTCCCAGCTCTCCCAGCCCGGCTCCAGCCCTGCAGCAGCTCCAGGTCCTTCCTGCACCTCCTGCCACAGCCCTGCTGACACAGACACCTTTCCAATCCCAGCAAAAGGAGGGTTCTGGCACTTTGTTCCTGGGGCTCCCTGGGTTTTTGGGGACTGGGGGCGATGCCGTGGCTGCTGATCCCAGCCAGATCCCACAAGTTCATGTGCAGAGCCCGGAATTTCTCACCAAACACCTGGGGCGGCTCTTGCCCGTCCTGCAGCCGGTTCAGGGGCTCCTGCTGAGGCTGCTTTCCCTTTCCCTTGCAGGACCCTGCAGGAAGGGGCCGGTGAGCGCCAGCAGAGCCTCAGAGGTCTGTGACAGAGGGAAGGTGACAGCCAGCCCCTGCTGTGCCATCCCTGGTGGCACCAAGGTCACCCTGTCCTGCCAGCTGGCAGCCCCACGGCGCTGGTGCTGGGCAGCGATTTTCCTCAACAGCTCCGAGCAAATCCGAGCCCAGGGGGGCTCGGTGAGCAAAACCTTCCTGGTGACTGCCCACGGCAGGCACAACTTCACCTGCAGGTGCATCTGTGGGGACAGGAGAAAACTCATCTGCGGCATCGATATCCAGTGTGGGAGTAAGGAAAAGCCCTGCTTAATTACCGCCTAAAGGTCTTAATTGCTTCTTACGGCTCTCCTGTGGGAGAGGGAAGCCTGTTGGGCACTGCTGTGTCCGGGACTGCTCTTCCCACTGGGAATATTCCCGGCTGGAATTGCGCAGCTGTGTTACTCCTGAAGGGAGAGAGGCTCGACAAAGCTGTCTGCCCAGAGCAAACACCGCCCTCCCTGCCCTGCATCCCCTCAAAATCTCCTTCCCACACCTCTGGGGGAGAGCCACAGAGCCAGGCTGGCTGGGAACGTTGGACTGAAGGACCCTGGAAGGTCATGGATGTCAGGACTGACAGGAATTTCTGTTTCAGGTCCTCCAGATAAGCCCAGGAACGTGTCCTGCATCCAGAAGGGGACACGGGGACATCCCACCTGCACCTGGCACAAAGGCAGGCTCACCTACCTGCACACTGCCTACGGGATAGAGTAAGCGCCGGGCTGGGAATACAATTAATGCCTAATTACCCCCTGCAGCAGCTTTCTCATCATGCCCTGCAGCTCCCTCGGGGTTCAGTGAAGAGGCTGTGCCAATCCATCCCTTTGGAAAGGGAACCTTGTCCCCACACCCCCAGGGCTGTCCCTGTCCCCATGGCCAGGGGTGATCCCTAAACCAGGACACCCCACAGCCCCAGGGCTTTCCCTGTCCCCATGGCCAGGGGTGATCCCTAAACCAGGACACCCCACAGCCCCAGGATTGTCCCTGTCCCCATGTCCTGGTGTGATCCCTAAACCAGGACACCCCCCACCCCCAGGGCTCACCTTTCCTCCTCAGAAAATCCAACCAATCCTTTCCTCCTGCTCCAGGCTCTCCAACGGGACCGATGTCTTTTCCTTTCCAGAAGAAACTCCCGGCCAGGTTTTCGGCTCTGGGGCTCTGAGCAGCCTGGATTTTGACTCCAATTACACCGTGGTGGTTTCTGCCTCCAACCAGCTGGGAAATGCCTCTTCCCAGCCGCTCACCTTCATGCTGATAGACATAGGTGAGGCACCACTGCCCCCCTCTCAGCCAGCCCCAGACCTTGGGGGAGACCTGAAAATATTCAGGACCTCTTGGAAAAACATTAAACCTCTTGGGAAAATCACCCACCCAGCCTGAAGCAGTAATCCTGTTTTCCACCTAACCCCCTCTCTGAGCCCTGTTTGTTCCCCTGTTTTGGTGCCAGTGAAGCCGCACCCTCCCGAATTTTCGGTGGAATTCGATGACTCCTCTGCCACCAGCTGCACCATTCAGCGGCACCGCGGGGCACAGGCACAGCACTGCAGGCTGAGGTATCGTCCCCTCGGCAGGCACGGCTGGAGCACGGTAATCCTGCTGGGATTCAGGGACTCGTGGGCAGGAGAGAGACCTGGGCAGAGCTCAGAGCCCCTGGCAGGGCACAGAGGGGCGCCGGGAGAGCTGCAGAGGGGCTGGGGACAAGGGATGGAGGGACAGGACACAGGGAACGGCTGGAAGGTGAAAGAAGGTAGATTTAGATGGGATACTGGGAATTGTTCCCTGGGGAGAGGCTGGGCTGGAATTCCCAGAGCAGCTGTGGCTGCCCCTGGATCCCTGGCAGTGCCCAAGGCCAGGCTGGACACTGGGGCTGGAGCACCTGGGACAGTGGGAGGTGTCCCTGCCATGGCAGGGTGGCACTGGGGGGGATTTAAGGTCCCTCCCAACCCAAACATTCCATGGTTCCATGAAGTTTTCACTGCAAGTGGCAAAAAGGACGCTTTGCTGGGAGCTGAGCACATCACCCCAACACAGATTTTGCTGTGGGCACGTAAGAAATGAGGGATTTTTCAGACAAAACCCTGCAGGGCTGATGATTTCCTTGCATCATCCCTTGAGTCTCTGAGGCTGCCTCAGCTCAGGGTTTTCTCTGCTGATTTTAAATCTGTGGCTGAGTTTGTAACTCAGCCCCTGCAGCCCTTGTTTCCTCGGGAGTTTAATACCGATTTCTTCATCCCCACTGAAGGTGGAGAGCCCCAGCAGGGAGAAACACCATCTGCAGGGGCTGGAGCCCGACACAGCCCACGAGTTCCAGCTGAGCTGCAGGATGCTGCCCGGCCGAGGGCTCTGGAGCGACTGGAGCAGCAGCCAGGGCAGCACCCCAGCCGCAGGTAAAGACCTGCCCTGAGCCCCGCTCGGGGCTCTGCACCCACAGCAAAGCCCAGCTCAGGGGCCAAACTGCTGCTGGGCTGCTGGGCTGAGCTCCAGACCCAGCCCCCGAGCCAAGGGGGAGAAGTTTCTGTAAGAAAATTGCGTTTTTAACGAGAGAACGGTGAAGATGTTCCAAAAGAGGAATCTCCAGAGCTCCCTGAGAAGGATTTGGGGGTTGGGGTGAGATGCTCTTTAAGGTGCCGTGCAACCCTTGTCATTCTGTGGTTCTGTGCTCTCCTGCTTGGCTTTGGCTGCTCCTTTTTGTGAATTACTGGGGCTGGGGCTGTTCTGAGTCACCCATTTCCCCTTTCCCCGTGACAGCAGCACTTTCTGTAAGAGGCATTGATTGATTTGGGAGGTGTGAACCTTTCCCTGCCTCCCCCACCTTCCTCTCAACAGTTTTCTCCCCTTTTTGTTGCACCCTGAGCTTGTGGCCATCCCCCCCAACCCGCCCTGGGGTTTTTGGCTGATCTTTGTGCCCTCAGAGCAAGGGGAGGCTGCAGACAAGCAGCTCTGGGTGCATCTTCGCTGCTCTGCTGAGCTTCCCCACGAGCTGTCTCCCAAAATTAAACCTTTCCGAGGAGAAATTCCTGTTCCTGCTCCTTTTTGTGCCAGCTGCCAAAACCCTCGTTCACGTGGTCCACAGGCTTTCAAAGCCAGGCTGGAGGGCAGCAGATGCAATGCCAGGATGGGATTTTTCTGCTCTGAGCTCGCAGCCAGTGCTCTGGGTTTATTTCTGCTCCTTGTTCCTGTTGCAGTTGTGCCCTGCAGCCACTCCAGGACAAGCTGCTCCCCAAATGCTGACCTGCAGGGATTTGTGGCTGTGCTCAGCCCTGGGCTGCCATCAGCTGCCCCTGCTCCTGCTGTTAATTGGAATTGATGAGCTGGTCCTTGAGGAGCAAAGCTCTGCCATCCTCTGTCACCCCAGCTTTCCTGACCCCTTCACCTCTGGTGCTGGATTTTGGGAGCTCATCCACCAGCCAGACCTTCCCTTTGATGTCGTTTTGGGAGGTTTGCTCAAAACACCAAGAGTTTCCAGTCAGAACTGTGGAAGGAGCCAGGGGTTTAAGCTGCCTCAGAGAAGCTGTTGAAGGCATTTATCAGACAGGAAAATCCCACACATCCCCACGTGCCCTCATCCCAGGCTGCCTGTTGTTCTAGGATTGATGGAGCCGAGCCCAAGGACCTTCAGAGGCCTCAAATTTATGCAAAGACAGGAGCTAATGCTGTGCTTTGATGTGTGGCTTCCCTTGGGAGCCATCCAGATTACTGAGGTCAGGACAAAGCCACCAGCACATCCAAACTCTTCTCCCTGGGTTTATGGCTTCTTCTCCTCGTGCTGCCACCCTCAAACAGCCAAACAACAGCAAACCTGGGCGGTTTATGGCTTCTTCTCCTCGTGCTGCCACCCTCAAAGCAACCAAACAGCAGCAAACCTGGGTTATCACACCCTGCAGCACTCCAGGGGCATTTCAAAGATTAAATTTGAATTTTCTCAGGGGTTTTACCTCGTTTGCTGGCTCCAAACCCCAGCCACTGCCACTGCTCTGCTTTTCCTTCCCTCCAGTGCCAACGGGAACCCTGGATGTCTGGTACCGGCAGCAGGAGCTGGACTCGGGGCACCAGAACCTCTCCCTGTTCTGGAAGGTGAGTGCACTGAATCCCCCTGGCGGCCCATTAACAGCAGAGATCTCCTGGAGGGAGGATTGGCTGTGGGAGAAATCAAGAAAACTGCCCAAAGAACAGGAGAGAACTGCCCCAGCTCTGACAGATGGGGATAGAATCCACAGCCCAGCCACACCTTGAAACCCAGGATAGCCCAGCAGAGGCTGCAAAACGCAGCCAGCTGAGAGGGGAAATGAAACCAGAGCCAGGAGAGAGGAGAAATGGTGATTTTTAGGCTGGCAGGGAAGGACTGAACCCTGGCAGAGCACAAAGGTTTCACCAGTTCCCAGGGACAGGGACACAGACCAAGGGTCCCCTCCCTATTCCTCCTCTTACTCATCAGCATTTTTCTACCTGCAATTTCTGGAATGCCAGAAATTCTGGAATGCCAGAATTATTTGGATTGGGAGGGATCCTGAATGTCATCCTGTTCCATGGCAGGGACACCTCCCACTGTCTCCAAGCCCTCTCCAGCCTGGCCTTGGCCATTCCAGGGATCCAGGAGCGGCCGCAGCTGCTCTGGGAATTCTATCCAACCCCTTCTCACATCCCAGGGAACAATTCCTAATTCCCAATCTCCCATCCATCCCTGCCCCCCTGGCAGTGGGAAGCCATTCCCCGTGTCCTGCCCCCCATCCCTTTATCCCCAGCCCCTCTCCAGATTCCCCAGCTGGAAGCATTTTCAGGATCTGCTGGGCAGAGCCGGGGGCGGGGATCCCCCAGGGAACATTCCACACAGAATTTAGTTTAAAACCCACCAGAAGTGGGTTAAAAAAAAAAAATTCACTGTGTTCCCCCCACTACAGCAGGCTGCAAGTGAAAGCAGAAATTCTCATGAAATTCTGTGGGCCCAGACGTTGTGGCTTCAGCCACTGTGGCTTGCAGACCTTTATCTTGCAGCACTTTCTTTATCAGCAGTGGCTTCCTGCAGCATCATTCACAAAACGGGGTGACAAACTGCATTTAGAGGTTTCACTGCAGCTCCCAAGCCAGGCTGACACTCAGGACCACTTCCTACCAAGGCTGTGCTCTTGTTCTCAGACAAACACCCAGAAAAGGGTTGGAAATTCAATTTCAGCAGGTTTCCAGTGCTGCCTCAGTCCCGGGCTGCTGCCAAAGCACGGCGAACATTTTGGTTTGTGCTTTGTGCATTGTTTCGTTCTGACAAAAATCAGCCGAACGAATGAATTAATGTCACAGAAACATCAGGAAACTGAAACTGAGAGTACAACTGCAGGCACCCAGAGGGGAGCTAAAACCAGGGTGTGGTGTTCCACAGGCTGTCAGAGATGTGTGTTCTGAGTGGTTCCATTTCAATAATTCTTTATGGTGGCTTTAAGTAAAATCCAAGGTTTTTCTCCCAAGCAAAACCTGCTCATTTTGGCAAATCCAGCTGAGCAGTTGATCACCTTTTTCCCCCTCCTTTGTGAAAAGTGTGGCTTTCAGTAGGGGGGGAAAAAAAAAGTGAGAATTCATCTTCAGGGCAGGAAGGGCTTCAGTGTCCCCAGCTGTGCTGCTGCTGGGGCAGTCAGCATCTCACAGCAAAACTGGGATTGGGTGGCAAAAATAAATCCTGAAATTTGGGGTTGGGTTGGGACGGACCTTAAATCCCACCCAGTGCCACCCCTGCCCTGGCAGGGACACCTCCCACTGTCCCAGGTGCTCCAGCCCCAGTGTCCAGCCTGGCCTTGGGCACTGCCAGAGATCCAGGGGCAGCCACAGTGCCAGGGCCTGCCCACCCTTCCAGGAGCAACGGACACCTCCCACTGTCCCAGGTGCTCCAGCCCCAGTGTCCAGCCTGGCCTTGGGCACTGCCAGAGATCCAGGGGCAGCCACAGTGCCAGGGCTGCCCACCCTGCCAGGAGCAACTCCTCATTCCCAACACCCCATCCAGCCCTGCCCTGTGTCCCTGCAGAGCCATTCCCTGTGTCCTGTCCCCGGTCCCTGCCCGGCGTTCCCAGCTGGCAGCACCTTGCCCACAGCCGGTGACGCTCGCGCTGTCCCCGCAGGCGCTGAGCCGCTCCGAGGCAGGGGGGACAATCCTGGGCTACACCGTCACCTTGGAAGCGCTGGAGCAGGGGAAGCTCCGGGCACAATCCCACCGGACCACGCAGACCAGCTTCTCCAGGGTCACCCCCAGGGCGGCCCACAGGGTCACGGTGACCGCGCACAACGCGCGGGGCAGCTCCAGCCCTGCGGCCCTGCTGACACACCTGGGCAGCCCAGGTGAGGCTCATGTGCCCGTCCTGACACACCTGGGCAGCCCAGGTAAGCCTCTGTGCCCATCCTGACACACCTGGGCAGCCCAGGTAAGCCTCTGTGCCCGTGCTGACACACCTGGGCAGTGCAGGTGAGGCTCATGTGCCTGTCCTGACACACCTGGGCAGCCCAGGTAAGACCCTCTGCCCATCCTGACACACTTGGGCAGTGCAGGTAAGCCCCTGTGCCCGTGCTGACACACCTGGGCAGCCCAGGTACGCTCCTGTGCCTGTCCTGACACCCCCAGGCAGCCCAGGTAAGCCCCTGTGCCCGTCCTGACACACCTGGGCAGCCCAAGTAAGCTCCTGTGCCCATTCTGACACACCTGGGCAGCCCAGGTGAGGCTCATGTGCCTGTCCTGACACACCTGCAGGTGTTGTGGTCCCTCCACCTTGTGCTCCCCTCAGTGAACTGCAGGGATCTGCAGATCTGCTTTTCCCTGCGGTTCCTGCAGGGGAGCAGCCCCTGCTCTCGCAGCCAGAGGGGCTCCAGCCCTTGGGATATCCCGGTTCCTCCTCTGGAATCTCTGCAGCAGCTCCACATCCTCGAGCTTCCACCGGGGCAGGTTGTTGGGGCGTGCTCTGCCAGCTTGGGATGGCACAGCCAGGCCGAGCTGTGGGTGTCCCACCCATGAGAAAAGCCAGGAATGTCACTGTTCCTGCCAGCAAACCCTCACCCTCCCATCAGCACCTTCTCTTTATCACTGCAATTCATTTTATCCTCCCCACGGCGCCAGAGTGGGCGAGACCCAGCAAACCCCACGTCCCAAAGGTTTGACCGAGGCCTCAAGAACCTTGTTTTGTTCTCCCCTGCAAGATCTGCCCCCTCCCCAGCGGGTCTCTGCCGTGGGCCTGGGTAACAGCAGCATCCTGGTGAGCTGGAGCCCCCCTGCCGCAGGCGCCGTGCCCCTGGGGGGCTACCTGGTGGAGTGGGCAGAGCCCTGGAGGGAGCCACGCCTGCAGCCCCAGCACGGCTGGGTGAAGCTGCCCCCGTCCCTCCTGTCCACTGTGATAGCAGGTAAGGCCACCCCGGGTGGGTGGAAAATGGTCTTAGCAACAAGTCAGGTGGGAATTTGTGCTCCGGGCCGGGTTTGGAGCAGCCTGGGGTGGTGGGAGGTGTCCCTGCCATGGCAGGGGTGGCAATGGGTGGGATTTAAGGTCCCTCCCAACCCAAACCAGTCTGGGATTCTCTATTTTTATAATTTCTATAGATTCTATATTCTATGTATTTCTATAATTTTTACTAAAATCACTGCCAGCGATGCAGGGGCACCACAGCTTCTTTGGGCTTCTCTGTGCCAGGGCCTGCCCACCCTCCCAGGGAACAATTCCTTCCCAATATCCCATTTGTCCCTTTCCTCTGGCAGTGGGAAGCCATCAATTTTCAGTTTAAAGCCCAGTAAGGCTCTGCCAGGCTCAGCAGATCGGAGAAAATTTCTTTCCCTTCTTTATGAAAGATCTATGAATAATCACAAGAGTTATCTCAGATTTAAGCAGCTGCTGCAATATTTCTGCCCTGCCTGCAAATCCACAGCTCTGCAGCTGTGATTTCTCCCCCCAGAGCACATCAGGGACAACGTCTGCTATCAGATCCACGTGTCTGCACTTTATCAGGACAGAGCTGGGCAGGCTGCATCAGTCAGGGGAAACTCCACAGCCCAAGGTAAACCCCAGGAATGCTGTCCAGCTGTCTGCAAGGCTTTTTAAGCTCAGCTCTAACACCGCTCCTGTGTCTTGCAGCCCCATCAGCTGGGCCCCAGATGTTCACAACCCCCTGGGCCAGTGGTGTGCTGGTTTCCTGGGAGGAGATCCCAGCCCCCCAGCAGCGGGGCTGCATCACTGGGTACCACATCTACCTGCTCAGGAAGGATGGGCAGGCCCAGCCCCAGCTCCATGGTGGGTGTCCGGGCTGGAATTGCTGCCCCTGCTCCCCTGTCCTTGCTGAAGGTCTCCTGTGGGGTCACTTTCAGTCTGAAATGATCAGATTTATCCCTGCTTCTCACTGCTCCTCCTATTCTTCTTCCTCCTCTTCTTATTCCTCTTTATCTTTTTCTTCCTTATCTTCCTCATCTTCTCTCATTTTTCTTCCTTCTCCTCTTCTTCTTATTCTTATTCTTCTTTCTTCCTCTTCTTCTCCCTATTCTTCCTCTTACTCCTCTTCCTCTTCTTTTTTTCTCTTACTCATCTTCCTTTTCTTTTTCTTTATTCCTCTTCTTCCTCTTCTTCTTCTTCCTCCTTTTTCATCTTATTCTTCTTCCTTTTCTTTTCCTCCTCCTCTTCTTCTTCCTCCTTTTTCATCTGATTCTTCTTCCTTTTCTTTTACTCCTCCTCTTCTTCTTCCTCCTCTTCTTCCTATTCCTCCTCCTATTTGTCTTCCTCTTTTTTCTTACTCATCTTCCTTTTCCCTTAATCCTCTTCTTCCTTCTCTTTTCCCCTCTTATTCTTCCTTTTCTTTTCCCTTAATCCTCTTCTTCCTCCTCTTCTTCCCTCTTATTCTTCATTTTCTTTATCCTTATTCCTCCTCTTCTTCTTCCTATTCCTCCGCTTGTCTTCCTCTTTTTTTCTCTCACTCATCTTCCTTTCCTTTTCCCTTAATCCTCTTCTTCCTCCTCTTCTCCCCTCTTATTCTTCTTCATTTTCTCTTTCCTTATTCCTCCTCCTCCTCTTTTTCCCCCTCCTCTTCCTCCTCCTCCCCCTCCTACGTTCCCTCGGAGCCCGGTCCCAGCTGCAGGCAGCAGATGCCGTGCCAGGCTCCCCATTTCCCTGGTTTTCCCCAGCCGTTCCCGCCGGGAAGGCTCCTCGCTGGCTGCACCTCGCTCACCTGGAGCCCGGCGAGCCCCACGAGCTCTGGATGACAGCGGCGACCGCGGCCGGGGAGGGGCCCCGGGGCAACAGCGACAGCGTCTGCCTGGAGAGTAAGGGAGCTGCTTGCCCTCGGATCCCCTCTCCCGCCCTCTGGAATGCTTTCCTGCTCCTCTGCAGTCACTCGAGCTCTCTGAGATCTCTCGGTGCTGAGGTGCTGAAGATTTGCTGGGTTTGGGATGTGGAATCTCTTTCTTTGCCTTCAAGCTCCCAGTGCTGTGCTGTTTCCTCTGTGGTGAAGGGTGGTTTATTCATGAAGCACAGAAAGATTTGGGGTTTTTTTAAAATCTTTTTGATGGAGCTGAGTGGTGGCTGCTGTGCATTGCAGGTGCTGGGGGCTGGCTGACTCTGGTGCTCGTCGGCAGCTTCTTCGTCCTCTCAGCCTGCCTTTGTTCCGTGCCTCCAGCAAGGAGAGTGTGAGTGGATCCACCAGCTGTGTCCCAACAAATCCGGGATGGCTACCAGGAGGGATTAAATCCCACAATGGTTTGGGTTGAAAGAGGTCTTAAATCCCACCCAGTGCCACCCCTGCCATGGCAGGGACACTTCCACTGTCCCAGGTGCTCCAGCCCCAGTGTCCAGCCTGGCCTTGGGCACTGCCAGGGATCCAGGGGCAGCCACAGCTGCTTTGGGCACCCTGTGCCAGTGCTTTTTAAGAATCTTTACTCCCATCTAATCTAAATTGACCCTCTTTAGTTTAAAACCATTTTCCCATGTCCTACAAGATGGTCATGCCCCTTCACGAGCATGGAGCAGTGAGGATTGTTCAAAAAGAAGGTTTCAGAGTACATGAATGATAATAAACACAGGCCCTGAGCTTAAAATACAGCTGCAGTTCATAGATGCTGTGAATTTTTAACCAGCTCTTGAAACCAAACTGAAGGGGAGCAATCCCTGGGAATTATCCCCAGCCAGCCAAGAGCTCTGCAGGTCCCTCTGAGGGCGGATCCACAATCACACCTGGGTTAATTCCACACCCAAGGAGCACAAGGCTGCTGCAGGTCCCACCATTGACATTTTTAATTGCATTTATCCCCCCTGCAGGTTCCTGTCCCTCCTCCTGCCGCAGTGGCAGAGCAAAGCCATTCCCGACCCTGCCAACGCCACGTGGGCCAAGAGCTTAGCGGCTGCCAAGGTAAATCAGAGGGGTTTTTCCTTCTAATCCCACAACCTTCATTAAAAAGAAGCAATTGGAGCCACGCGAGCCTGTAATCTCCTAAAGCAGCAAATCCAGCAATCTCTGGCAGCAGATAATCTCCGCTGGAGGAGACTGCGGGGCGCGCTGGGCGAATTAAAGCCCAGAAGAAGGCGAGATCTCCCTCAGGATGTGGGGAGCGAGTCCCGGGAGCTCCGTGCCGGGATTCACTCCGTGTCCCCCCGCAGGCGGAGCTGAGCGCTCCCTTCAGCCCCTTCCTGCCCGGCGGCTTCGAGGAGCCCGAAACCAGCCCGGTGGAGGAAACCCCGGCTCACGCCGAGCCCCCCAAACCCGGGGACAAGCCGGTGGTGGGCAGCGGGATGCACGGAGACCGGGCACGGGAGAGCTCGGAGGAGCAGCAGCAGCTCCCGGAGCTGTACCAGAGGCTGGTGGCGGAGGCGATGGAGCCCGATGGAGCCCCCGGAGCCGTAATCCCCCCGGCCGAGTACATCTCCAGCCCCGGCAGCCTGGCCCCCGAGCCCGAGCCTGCCCCCGAGCCCAGCGCCCTCTCGGTCTTCCCAAGCGCATTCCTGCCTCCCGCCCTCTGCTGCCAAGGGAGCCTGACTCTGGATCGAGTGAAACTCAGCGGCAGCTCCTTCCCGAGGTAGGCAGGGGGCGATGTCAGCCCGGCAAGAATTTTGGCACTTTGCAGAGTATTTCGGTGTTTCGATGTGAGCCCGGCAGGAATTTTGGCGCCTTACAGAATATTTTGGTGTTTCGATGTGAGCTCAGCCAGGATTTTGGCACTTTGCAGAGTATTTCGGTGTTTCGATGTGAGCCCGGCAGGAATTTTGGCACTTTGCAGAGTATTTTGGTGTTTCGATGTGAGCTCAGCCAGGATTTTGGCACCTTACAGAATATTTCGGTGTTTCGATGTGAGCTCAGCCAGGATTTTGGCATTTCACAGAATATTTTGGTGTTTCAATGTGAGCTCAGCCAGGATTTTGGCACTTTACAGAGTATTTTGGTGTTTCGATGTGAGCTCAGCCAGGATTTTGGCACTTCACAGAGTATTTTGGTGTTTCAATGTGAGCCCGGCAGGAATTTTGGCACCTTACAGAATATTTCGGTGTTTCGATGTGAGCTCAGCCTGGATCTTGGCACTTCACAGAGTATTTTGGTGTTTCAATGTGAGCTCAGCCAGGATTTTGGCACTTTACAGAATATTTTGGTGTTTCGATGTGAGCTCAGCCAGGATTTTGGCACTTCACAGAGTATTTTGGTGTTTCAATGTGAGCTCAGCCAGGATTTTGGCACTTTACAGAATATTTTGGTGTTTCAATGTGAGCTCAGCCAGGATTTTGGCACTTCACAGAGTATTTTGGTGTTTCAATGTGAGCTCAGCCTGGATTTTGGCACCTTACAGAGTATTTCAGTGTTTTGATGTGAGCCTAGCCTGGATTTTAGCATTTACGAAATATTTCAGTGTTTCAGCACAGCCAGTGCAGTCCCTCACTTGTGACACCTCCGAGTGACAAAACCCTTCCCAATCACACCTCACCAGTGGACGTGGCTGCTCCTCTGCCATCAGAAGCACAGCTGGGGATGCCAGAGCTGGATTTTGGGGATTTTGGGAGCTCTTCCTGCAGCCTGGGCTGCCTCAAGCCCTGTCCCACGGCCCAGCCCAGGATCAGAGATGGAAATCACCATTTCCACCAGAAAGAGCAAGGAACTGCAAAAGGGAAGGATGGAACAGCTCAGCACCTCCTGTTCCTCCCCTGGCACCAAGTCACAGAGTCCCCAGTGTCACCAGACCCACGAGGGACACAGCACCAGAGCCCCTTCCCTGCCTCAGTTCAGGACAGGAAAATTCCTCTCCAGAACTAAAAGCAGCAGGTAGGATCTGTACTCAGCCAAATGGATTGTCAAGAGGAATTTAAGTGATTTATTGGAGTGTTCTAATTACAGGCTGCAAGGGTGTTACACATTTAATGACTTTGTTTACCAGATGTGTGTATATAAATAAAATGTTGGAAATCTGAACTTGGCTTCCTGTTGTTTTCTCTGGTCACGCTCCAGCTTTACACAGTACAATTAAAAATTAAATAAAGCTGAAACGTTGCAGTTAGAGATGGAGCAGCCCAGGTATGAACTTACCTGGAGCATCCTCTGTGTCCCCAAGCAGGGACACGAGCTGCTGCTGCCACCATTCAAGTGCAGATTTGGGTATTGCCAAATATCAGCTCAGCCACTGCGCTTTGGGCTTCTGAGCTCTGGTGCCACCTGTGTCACCTGGCTGGGTGACAGCAAAGGAAAACATCTCCCTCAGAACTGGGTCACACATCCAAAAAACCCAAACCTGCTGCCTGTTCTCCACACCCTGCCTGGGAACCACCCTGCTAAGAGGATTCTGCCTGAGCACAACTCAGCCCCTCCAGCCAGCTCTGCAAACCAAACTGAGCTAGGAAGGCACATCAGATGCCAAAAAGGGTTTGGCTTTTTGGTTGTTTTTGGTTTTTTGGGTTTTTTTTTGATAAAGCACTATTTTGCCATTCATCTTTTTCTGCATCTTGGTTTTCTACCTCAACCTAAGGATAAGAGAACATTGGAATGAATTTTCTCCTTGCCCCATAGATCTCCAAATCACTCACAGTGTGGGGTTTCATGTGCAGCCTTGCTCCAAGAGACAAGGACCAGAGTCCTGGAACTCCATCCAGCCTGAGCATCCCAGCTGAGTCCCCCCTCAGGACACCCTTTCCAGCAGGAACACCAGGTGTGGCTGTCCTGGGGACACCCCGAGCATGGAACCTGGCAGAGGCAGAGCAGCCCAGAGTGCCTGCTCCTTGGAATGACTCTGGGAAAGCAGCAGCTGGCACAGCTGGAAGGGGCACAGCTGGAAGGGGCACAGCTGGCTGTCAGCGCTGGGTTTATTAAACCACAGCTCTGTCTTTGCAAAGCCACCCCTGTGGGCACAGTTACCAGGCAGGGGTGGGCTCAGCTCCTCCAACTGCTGCCACCACACATTCCCACTGATTCCCAACATTCCAGCAGAATCCATGTCCTTTCCCACACAGCTAACTCTTGGAATTGAGCAATCACTCCCCCCTGCTCCCTCCCACCATCCCAGCTGAGATCAACTCCCCTGCTCAAACCTTGCCCTTGGCTCACTCCAAAGCCAATCTGCTCCACACCTCCAACTTTCTCTGCTCTCTTTTCCAAAGGATCAGAATTTAAAAGCTGCAGTCCCCCAGATTTGGTGTGACAGCAGGAGCAAGCAAGAGGACAGAAAATGTTACTAAAAGCAAGCTCATTAATCATAAATAACCTACTTGGGAGATGCTTTTCCAAGGCAAAATCCATCCTGGGAAAGGGAATGCAAGCTGGACTTCCTGGGACAGACCCTAGAGGAGCCACTATGAACCTCAGTGGCTTCATTTCCATGTGGTTTCCAGGACATTTTTTTTTTAAAGAGCATGAAAATAAACCTTTATTTCAGTTAACACCCACCAATATTAAAGATAAATGTTCACAGTTTTAGTTCCTGACACAAATGGACTGAAAGAGGCGAATTTACATCTGGCAGAACAGCAGAAGGACCAATTTTAAATTACAAGCTGTGTTGAAAAATCACTCTAGGTGCCATTTGGGAATGCTCTAGAGCAGGGAAAGGGAAAACCCAGCCAGCAAAATCACCTGGGTGGCAACTGGAACAGCAGTTTGGATCAAGGAAGGGCTGTGTTCCAGGGAAAGGTTTGTTCCACGTGGTTGGTGTTATCCAGGCTGTCCCTGAGGCTGAAGTGCAGCACATCCCACCAGACAATGGGAAAAGGAACAGCTCTGCTCCTACAACAGCCCCACACTGAGAGCACAGTCAGGAGAGCAGAACCAAGGGATTTCCCACTCTCTGAGGGAAAATCTGCCTCCTTCTCCTGCCTGGGGCTGAAATCCAGGTGAGGGAACTGATCCCTGGTACTCACAGTGGGTCACAACAGGAGCTCTTGTGGGAAACAGCTCAGGAAAAGCAAAGGCAGCTGCCAACACCCAGCTGAGCAGGCTGGTGTTCCACACTCCAAGGTCTCCAACACTTCCTGCCTGTCCTGCACAGTTTTTATAAAAATAGGGTGTTACCTTTAGTTTTCTGCCTACCTACGAAACCACAAATATGTTCTTAGCTAGCCAAAGAGGAAAACATGGAATAAAAGGAGATTTGTTCCTATTCTCCTAACAAATGCTGATAAAACCCCTACAAGATCCTCTACTAGCCCTTCACTCAACTCTTCTTGTGCACTGAAGGGAAACACGGGGAAGAAACTGAACCTATGGTGGATTTTGAGGGAGAAGGAATTTCTTACAATCATTCTCTGGAAAAGCATTCCTTGGTGATGTCCCAAGCAGATCCTGAGCACTGCACTGAGCCAGAGCAGCCTTTGGATGGAGAGGTGAAGCGCTGAGGTTTTGGGGTGGATTTTTGGTACCCCATGCACAGATTGCCATTGTCCCAGCTCAAAGCCATGGGCCACAACTCCCTCCTGAGCCAGCCCAGCTCCTTCCTGGGAACACCTGGAGCAGTGCTGGGAATGCTGGGAATACTGCTGCACCTGTGTGGCAATCCCACATCCCACCTGGGATCCACCTGGGCTTCCAGAGCCACAGCTGCCACCTTCCCCCCACTCCCAGCTCCAACAATTTCCCCACACTCATGGAATCCCAGCTCCAAGGACAGGAATCCTCCCATTCTCATGGAATCCCACCTCCAAGGACAGGAATTCCCCCATTCTCATGGAATCCCAGTTCCAAGGATAAGAATTACTCCACACTCCTGGAATCCCAGCTGCAAGGACAGGAATTCCCCCATTCTCATGGAATCCCAGCTCCAAGGACAGGAATTCCCCCATTCTCATGGAATCCCAGCTCCAAGGACAGGAATTCCCTATATTTCAGGGTATCCCAGCTCCAACAACAGGAATTCCCCCAATCTCAGGGTATCCTTTCAAACAAAAAGCAAAGGTAATTAAAAAACTCTTTTTTTTGTTGCCAAAAAAAGTATCTTGTTCTGTTGAAGGGAAGGAGGAGGAAATAAAGGTCCAGAGGGGGAGTGCAAGGTGGGATACAGGAATTTTAAAAACCTGGTTTTCAGACCAGTTACCCATTGCTGGATCCATACACAGCTATTGAATCATAAACCAATGTGCTTTGAATCTTGATTTCAAGTATCTGCTTTCAATTTTCTAGAAAGATTTTGTGTAAACAAACTACCCAACAGAGATGAAGAAATGACTGGTTTTCCATGTTGGAAGTGAAGCATTAAAACTTAAGTACTCCAGGAGTTCATTCCATACAGCACTAACAGTCTGCCAAATTAATATTCCACAGATTCCATGGGCTGAGAAAAATCTGCCAAAGAGGAATTAAGGAAACTGAAGTAGTGTGCAATACTTAAAACCTAATTTGGAGTTTGGGGGGGGGGGAAGGGGGAAAATCTAAAATCGTGACTTTAAATTAAAAAAAAAAAAAAGAACACAAATGAAGGGAAAGCTTTTAACTGGTACACACTGTTCACACCTATATTTCAAGTTTGGAAACGCATATTTTCAAGCAGCAATACAAAAAAGTATCCATGAAGAATGCATAATCTCTGAAAAAATTATGAAAACATCCCTGCTACCAT